TTTTTTTTTTTTTTTTTCGGGCAGGGCGACGTGGACGTGGTGGGGCAGCCCTTGTTCTCCATCAAGCAGCACTGCACCTTCTTGGCCGCGTCCCACGACTCCGGGGCGCCCTCGCCACAGTTGATCCGCTTCTCCGTAGTTGTGGGCGGCGGGGGCGGGGGCGGGGGCGGCGGCGGGGGCGGCGGGGGCGGGGGCGGGGGCGGGGGCGGGGGCGGAGGCCTCCTGGTCGTCGTTGTCTTCTTGGTCGTGGTCGTCGTGTCTGGCGGCGGGGTCGAAGGCGGCACGAACGGCGTGGTCGTCGTGGTCGTGGTCGTGGTGCTCCCCGGGGCGAGCGCGAAGAGGAGCAGCGGGAGCAGCAGCAGGGGCAGCAGCAGCAGCGGGATCAGGAAGCAGCAGCAGTTGGGGCCGCGCCCCGGGATGCGGATGGCTCCGAACTCGCCCGCGCCGTGTCCCACGTACCTGTAGGTCGTCTCCTGGACGTAGTCGCCCCCGGCGCCGACGTAGGACAGGATCGTGCTGCCTGGATGGGGGAGCCACAAGCTACCGATTCCTTTGGGGTCCCGAAAAACGGTGCGGTGGCAGACCGTGCGGTGACCTCGGAACCCCAAGAGACCTCACCGCGCGGTCCGTCACCGCACGGCCTTGGGACCCTGGAGGCCCCTGTCGCCCCCGAGACATCCTGGGAGAGGGACTCGAGTCCCCAAAAACCGTGCGGTGGCCCCGAGTCCCCGCCGACTCCCCGCACGGTGTGGTCACTCCCTGGGCCTCTCCTGGGGCGCGTTCTGGCCAGAGTCTCGAGGCGAATCCAGCCGAGGTGGCGAGGGCCTCCGGGAAGGCGACCACGAGGCCGGGGCAGCGGCATCGGCACGTGTCCTGGGTGGCGGCATCCGAGCCCTACCCCCAGCGACCATCGATTCACCCATCGATTCTCCCGAATCGAAACCCGGGGAAAGGGGGGGGGGGGGGGGGGGGCGGAGGAGGAGGAGGAGGAGTAGGAGGAGGAGGGGAGGAGGGAGGAAGGAGGAGGAGGAGGAGGAGGAGGAGGAGGAGGAAGGAGGAGGAGGAGGGGGAGATGGAGGAGGGGAAGGAGGAGGAGGGAGGAGGAGGAGAGGAGGGAGGAGATAAAGGAAGGAGTAGGAGGAGGAGGAGGAGGGAGGAGGAGGAGGAGTAAAGGAGGGAGGAGGAGGAGGAGGAGAGCATGAAGGAGGAGGAGGAGGAGGAGGATATAAAGGAGGAGGAGGAGGAGGAGAGGAGAGAAAGGAGGAGGATGAGGAGGAGAGTGAGGAGGAGAAGAGGAGATAAAGGAGGAGGGAAGGAGAGGAGGAGGAGGAAGAACACCTCTCTCATGAGGAGTGGTGGCTTCACGAGGGCGGGGGGTTGGGATCGGCCCAACATGCTCGACGAATTCCGAGCCCCCCGCCGCCCATCGAGGTGTCTGAATCGTTGATCGGCGAGGGCAGGGCTCGGATCTCGCCGCCGTTCCTCCTCGGACGATCTACCCAACCACCCCAATGCAACCCGAAGGCACCGTGGGGCTCGTCGCTTTCTGGTGGGGAGGGGGGGGGGGGGGGGCACACCAGAACATGGAGGAAGCACGACGGAGCCCGCACACCCCCCGACCCGAACTTTGTGGGGTGGGCCAGGGCCTGCGGGTTGGGTGGGGCTGGCTCGGTAAGAAATGAATCTGCTGGACGCCCGAAGTTGTTGTGCAAAATCGACAGCGGCCGCTGTTGGGCAGGCAGCCCCCCTCTGTCCCTCAAATGCACGACAGCGTCCGCGACGACACCGGCACTGCTGTCGGTCGTTGTACCCATTCGTTCCGTACCCACTGGGGAACCCAACTGGTACCGATACCGCGACTCCCCGAACCTCTCCCAGGGTGCGCTCTGACCCTCCCAAAAAAAGCCGAGGCGAACCCAGCGGTGGCGACGAGGGCCTCCCCGGAAGCCTTTATAAAGAGGCGAGCACGATGCCGGGGCAGCGGTTTTCCAGGACCTTCTCCTCCTCGGACGCCCCGAACCCTCCGGGAGCCTCCGCCGCCCCCGCAGCACGCCGCGCCGCCCGCGCAGCCGGAGACGCCACAGCCGCACGTCTCGGCGCAGGCTGCGCCCGCGCCTGGGCCGCAGCCGAGGCAGGCGCTGCCCTCGGCGCAGGCGGGCGCGCAGCCCGCGGCGCCGGCGCCTGCGCCGTAGCCTGCGCCGTAGGCGCCGCCGGCGTAGCCCAGCCCAGCACCGCCGGCGCCGTAGCCGACAGCGGGCCCGCCCTGGAGGTACATCGCCCTGCTGGCCCGCCGAGGGAGAGGAGGCCAGGGCCCGTGGCCTGCCCACTCGCGAGGACGCCCGCGACCGGCCCCGCGCCCGCCCCAACTCGTCACGGCATGGTCCGCGCTGGCGCCGTCTGGGAACGAGCCATGCCTCTGCGTTCCCAGACGGCGCCGGCGCGGATCGTGACGTGACCGGCCCCCCTCCCCCCCCTCGCACCCCCCCTCCCTGGGTCACGCCGGTCATCGCCAGGGGATGCACAAGAAACGGTCTCCGACAGCAACAACGAGGCTGCCGGATCCAGCACGCCCTGAGCTAAAATGGCTGCGCCAATAGTGCACACAGTACTTCGCGCTCGCGGGGTGCATCCCCTGGGGGTCTGCCGACAGAAAGCACCCTGGCCCCTGCCCGCCCAAGTCTGCCACGGGCCGTCAGGACTCCCGGGTGACCCCCCAAGAGCGCTCCAGGAACGCTCCACGGGGCCTGCAGGCGAGCCCAAGAGGGTCCGACGCGGCCTATGAGCGCTCCAAGACTTGCACTGATGGATTCTCGGCGGCCCACGAGGCCTCCGAAACGCCTCAAGAGCGCCCCGACAGGTCGGGCTCTGGAAGATGTGAACGCTCTCACCTTCTTGTTTGACGCCCGACGCTCCCAAGACTGCCCCGAAAGGCCCCAAAGATCGCCCCCAAGACGGCCGAAGAGGCCCCCAAGAGGGCCCCAAGACGGCCCCGAGAGGGCCCCAAGAGGGCCCCAAGACGGCCCCGAGACGGCCCAAGACGGCCCAAGACGCCTCAAGTAGGCCCGAGAGGCCCCCAAGACGGCCCAAGAGAGCCTCAAGTGGGGACCAAGAGGGGACCCACGAACAGACATTTCGAACCCTCTGACCCGAGACGACCCTCCAGACCTCCAGCAGGCCCCCATGCGACCCTCCAGAGGCCCCAGGAGGCCCCCGAGAAGACCCCAGGAGGTGCAGAGAGGCCCTAACGAGGCCCCCAAGAGGCCCCAAGAGGCTCCCAAGGTGCATCTCCCTCAAGGTTCCCCAAAAGCCCCCAAGACCAGTACCCACGAGGCCCCCAAGAGGCTTCCCCACATACCCCAAAGCCAGCAATGATGCAACCTTGGTCGACGAAATGAGCGCAGCGAGCACAAGAACAAATAAAATGATCCCAGTGCGACCCTACCTAGGAGTTGGAACCCCTAGGAAAGCAGCATTAGTAGTAACAGCAACGCTAAGCTAAAGCTAAGCCAAAGCTAAGCTAAAGCTAAGCCACAGCTAAGCTAAAGCTAAGCTAAAGCTAGGTTAAAGCTAAGCTAAAGCTAAGCTAAAGCTGAGCAACAGCTAAGCTAAAGCTAAACTACAGCTAAGCTAAAGCTAAGCCACAGCTAAGCTAAAGCTAAGCTAAAGCTAAGCTAAAGCTAAGCTAAAGTTAAGCTACAGCTAAGCTCAAGCTAAGCTAAAGCTAAGCTAAAGCTAAGCTAAAGCTAAGCTAAACGCTAAGCGAAACGCTAAGCGAAACGCTAAGCGAAACGCTACGCTAAACGCTAAGCGAAAAGCTAAGAAACGCTAAGCTACAGCTAAGCTAAAGCTAAAGCTAAAGCTAAAGCTAAAGCTAAAGCTCCCAGGGGACTGGGGGGAACCGCTCCCAGGGGACTGGGGGAACCGCCTGGGGCGTGTTCCACTGCCCGGCCCCTTTAAGCTAAGAGAGTAAGAACCCTTCTAGGCAGAGCCTAGGTAGGGAAAAACAACAGGACACAGCATGGGCCTCGGCCCGCCGCCTCCAGGGAGGGCAGAGGGAAGCCCCTCCGTCCACTGAAGCAGGATGGCGGAGAGAGTATAACTACGAGGGGGCAGCGTCGGGGAGGGACTGGCCCCCCTGGGGGAAGCCTCGAGCTGGCATGGAGCCGGCGACACCTCGGCGACGGGTCGGCCCCGACACCGACGCCGACACCGACACCGAGACAGCAGCACGTCCACGGGCGGGGTGGGCTGTCGGGCCCCCGGCGGCGACCCGGTGGGCGGCGGGGGGGGGTCGGCGCAGTCCCCCCGCGGGGGGGGGTCGACGCAGTCCCCCCCGGAGCAGCCTATCCCGGCCCATTGATCCTCGTCGTCTGGCCAGGTCGCGCGCCTCCATGGCGGCCGCTCGGGAGGATCCGCACACCCCCCGGGGACGCTCGCGGCGAGGCGCAGCCGCCGGAAGGCGTCCCGGGGCGGGAGGACCGCCGAGGATCGACGGAAGCGTCGGAAAGCCTCAGGCCTCGAGGAGGAGGAGGAAGAGGAGGAGGAGGAGGAGGAGGAGGAGGAGGAGCAGGAGGAGGAGGAGGAGGAGGAGCAGGAGGAGGAGGAGGAGGAGGAGGCGCAGGAGAACCCTCCCCCCGGAGGCGATATCGTGGCCCCCGAGGGTCGAGATCGGGGCCCCGGGAGAGCCAGCCGCCGCCCTGCCGCCGTCGAGGCGCCCGCGGGCCCCGCCCGCGACGCCCCCGCATCGTGGACGGGCACGGTTTTTTGCTCGCCACCAGGACGTGACTTGGGCCGTCGCTGGCGGCGCGCACAAGGGGCTGGAGGGAGGCGGGAGGGCTTCTTGGGAGAGGGGGCTGCTTCTTGGAAGGCGCCGGCCTCCCATCTATTATAGAGAGAAGGCCCGCGCCTGCCAAGTTAAGAAGGGGTGCTTCTTCTGAGAAGCCCTCCCCCCTGCCCCCACCCCCCTCGCCACCAGGAGTCGGGCCTTCGGGGGCCACCTGTCAGCCCTGATACTCAGGATGCCGACGGGCCCGGGCCTCACTGCGAGGCGCGCGCCGGTCGCTTTGCCGCGGGCGCGCCCAGCATGGCAGCATGTGGTCTGCAGGCGCCACCGCGGGGCGCCGTCGCGCGAGCGGGGCAGCTCTGCCGCGGCGCTGCCCCCGGCGGGAGCCAGCCACAAAAAAAGAAAAAAAGAAAAAGCGCTCGGCCCGGCGGGGCGCGGGGGCGCCTGGGGAAGCAGGGGGGGGAAGGGGGAGGCAGAAGCGAGGAGGAGGGGGGGGGTCCCCGAGCGCCCCTGGCGCGGTCTCTCGCCAGAGCGGGCCCCTCACGCCGGCTCCTCGCCCTTGCAGCCCTTGTGGAAGTTGGCGCAGCAGTAGTTGATCTTCTTCGGGGACCAGGACAGCTCCTGAGGGGAAACGTTCAGGGGGGAGCAGCTCAGGGGGGGGAAAACAGCGACCCGGAACTGGCGATGCATCGCCGACAGATCGACGACGGGCCCCCTTGTGGCGAATCCGCACGGTCCTGTGAGGGAGCTGGGCGGCCGCCCCTTCGTCATCGGCGATCGAGGGGCGATCGTGGGATCGGGGAGCCAATAGTGGCATATAAACCCTGGAGCGTTCGGAGGTCCGCGAGGACCGTCGACAGTCTGTGGTCGCGCAGTTCTGCTCTGATCCGCGGTTGGGGGTCGGTGCAGCCCCCCCCCCCTCCCCGAAGAAGCCCATCCCCGCCCCGAACGTTTTGCCCCTGAGCTCCAAGCAGTGCATGCAGTGGTGGTACCCCGCGTCGCAGTCGTACTTGCTCTCGTCGGGCGCCGGGGGCAGGCCGGACGGGGGCAGGCCGGACGGGGGCGGCAGCTCCGACGGGCACCCCCGGTTGGCGGTCTTGCAGCAGTAGAGCTTCTTCTCGCCGGACCAGCCACGGACCCACTGCAGCGCGTCGAGGTCGTTGTCCGCCGCCGCGCCTGCAGCGGTGGGCGTGCGTCGGAGCTCCCCCTGCCAGCTTTGACGAGGCGCCACCAGATGGGGGCCCCCCGACGCGGCGAGCCCAAGAGGCGCTCACGTTTTGTGAGCCCCCACAGCCCACAGCCCTGCGTCGCTGGCCTCCCAGGCAGAGAGGGGCCCCGAAGAACACGGCTCTTGGGGAAGGAGCCGTCCGTGGACCCTCTGCCACATGCCCCCGCCCCAGAGGCCCGGCCCGCTCCCCCCCCCAACGGGCGCCCGCCCCCAGCGCGGCGGCGGAGTCGCGCGGCAGCGCAATCGGATACCCTGCGTTGCAGTCTATGGGGCAGGGCGACGTGGACGTGGTGGGGCAGCCCTTGTTCTCCATCAAGCAGCACTGCACCTTCTTGGCCGCGTCCCACGACTCCGGGGCGCCCTCGCCACAGTTGATCCGCTTCTCCGTGGTTGTGGGCGGCGGGGGCGGGGGCGGGGGCGGCGGCGGGGGCGGCGGGGGCGGGGGCGGGGGCGGGGGCGGGGGCGGAGGCCTCCTGGTCGTCGTTGTCTTCTTGGTCGTGGTCGTCGTGTCTGGCGGCGGGGTCGAAGGCGGCACGAACGGCGTGGTCGTCGTGGTCGTGGTCGTGGTGCTCCCCGGGGCGAGCGCGAAGAGGAGCAGCGGGAGCAGCAGCAGGGGCAGCAGCAGCAGCGGGATCAGGAAGCAGCAGCAGTTGGGGCCGCGCCCTGGGATGCGGATGGCTCCGAACTCGCCCGCGCCGTGTCCCACGTACCTGTAGGTCGTCTCCTGGACGTAGTCGCCCCCGGCGCCGACGTAGGACAGGATCGTGCTGCCTGGATGGGGGAGCCACAAGCTACCGATTCCTTTGGGGTCCCGAAAAACGGTGCAGTGGCAGACCGTGCGGTGACCTCGGAACCCCAAGAGACCTCACCGCGCGGTCCGTCACCGCACGGCCTTGGGACCCTGGAGGCCCGTGTCGCCCCCGAGACATCCTGGGAGAGGGACTCGAGTCCCAAAAACCGTGCGGTGACCCCGAATCCCCGCCAGCTCGCCGCACGGTGTGGTCACTCCCCGGGCCTCTCCCGGGGCGCGTTCTGGCCAGAGTCTCGAGGCGAATCCAGCCGAGGTGGCGAGGGCCTCCCGGGAGGCCCGGGAAGGCGACCACGGGGCCGGGGCAGCGGCATCGGCACGTGTCCTGGGTGGCGGCATCCGAGCCCTACCCCCAGCGACAATCGATTCCCCCATCGAGTCTCCCGAGTCGACGGGAGGCTGAGGAGGAGGAGATGGGGGAGGAGGAGGAGGAGGAGGAGGAGGAGGAGGAGGAGGAGGAGGAGGAGGAGGAGATAAAGGAGGAGGAGGAGAGAAAGGAGGAGGAGGAGGAGGAGGAGGAGGAGGAAGAACACCTCTCTCATGAGGAGTGGTGGCTTCACGAGGGCGGGGGGGTGGGGGATCCCGCCACATGCTCGACGAATTCCGAGCCCGGTTGGCTTGGTAAGAAATGAACCTGTTGGACGCCCGAAGAGGGAACGGACAAAACGGGCACGATGCCGGAGTTCAGTTGCTGTGCAAAATCGGCAGCGGCCGCTGTTGGGCAGGCTGCCCTGTGTCTCTCAAATGCACGACAGCGTCCGCGACGACACCGACACTGCTGTCGGTCGTTGTGCCCATTCGTTCCGTACCCACCTGGGGAACCCAACTGGTACCGAGACCGCGACTCCCCGAACCTCTCCCAGGGTGCGCTCTGACCAAAAAAAAACACCGAGGCGAGCCCAGCGGTGGCGACGAGGGCTTCCCCGGAGGCCCCAAAGAGGCGAACACGACGCCAGGTCGCGGTATACCGGGACCTTCTCCTCCTCTGACGCCCCGAACCCTCCGAGAGCCTCCGCCGCCCCCGCAGCACGCCGCGCCGCCCGCGCAGCCGGAGACGCCGCAGCCGCACGTCTCGGCGCAGGCTGCGCCTGCGCCTGGGCCGCAGCCGAGGCAGGCGCTGCCCTCGGCGCAGGCGGGCGCGCAGCCCGCGGCGCCGGCGCCTGCGCCGTAGCCAGCGCCGTAGCCTGCGCCGTAGGCGCCGCCGGCGTAGCCCAGCCCAGCACCGCTGGCGCCGTAGCCGACGGCGGGCCCGCCCTGGAGGTACATCGCCCTGGTGGCCCGCCGAGGGAGAGGAAGCAAGAGCCCGTTGCTTGCCCACTCGCGATGATGCCCGTGACCGGCCCCCCCCCCTAACTCGTCACGCCATGGTCCGCGCTGGCGCCGTCTGGGAACGAGCCATGCCTCTGCGTTCCCAGACGGCGCCGGCGCGGATCGTGACGTGACCGGCCCCCCTCCCCGGCCCCTCTCCCCCCCTCGCACCCCCCCTCCCCCCGGTTATCGCCAGGGGATGCACAAGAAACGGTCTCCGACAGCAACAACGAGGCTGCCGGATCCAGCACGCCCTGAGCTAAAATGGCTGCGCCAATAGTGCACACAGTACTTCGCGTTCGCGGGGTGCATCCCCTGGGGGTCTGCCGACAGAAAGCACCCTGGCCCCTGCCCGCCCAAGTCTGCCACGGGATGTCAGGACTCCCGAGTGACCCCCCAAGAGCGCTCCAGGAACACTCCCCGGGGCCTGCAGGCGAGCCCAAGAGGGTCCGACGCGGCCTATGAGCGCCCCGAGACTTACACTGATGGATTCTGAACGGACCACGAGGCCTCCAAGACGCCTCAAGAGCGCCCCGACAGGAGCCCCAGAGGGCCCAGAAGGAACAAAAACATGCGAATTTGCATTGGGCTCTGGAAGATGTGAACGTTCTCACCTTCTTGTTTGACTCCCAACGCTCCCAAGACTGCCCCGAAAGGCCCCAAAGATCGCCCCAGGAAGAAAGGAAAAGAGGACCATGAGCGAGACTGAACGCAGAAACGTTGCTGCCGATCCTGGTCCGTGTGGATCATCCTCGCGAATCGGCGACGGCCAGCATAGACCATGACCAAGATCGGAGTCGACCAAAATCCCGCTACATCTTGGTCGTGGTCGTCGTGCTTCTTCTCTCGACTTTCCCCTGGAGAAGCCAAGAGGTACAGATACCGCTACTCCCTGGACCACTCCCGGGGTGCGTTCTGACCAGTTCGAGGCGGACCCAGCGGTGGCGACGAGAACCCCCCCCAGAGGCCCAAGAAGGCGAAAACGAAAGAGACGGGTGGCGGTATGGGTATATCGCCTTCCTCTGAGCATCGTGCTTCTTCCCTCGACTGTTCCTTCCTTCCTTCCTTCCTGCCTTCCTTCCTTTCCTTCCTCCTCCCTCCTCCTCCTCCTCCTCCTCCTCCTCCTCCTCCTCCTCCTCCTCCTCCTCCTCCTCCTCCTCCTCCTCCTCCTCCTCCTCCTCCTCCTCCTCCTCCTCCTCCTCCTCCTCCTCCTCCTGCCCCTCCTCCACATGCACCGCGTCGCAGCGCGGCACCGAGACGAGCATAGATCTCTTTCACCTTTTGCTGCACCGCGCAGCCGGTCCCCTCTACGGACGCCAGCCTGTGAACGGGCTACCAGGGGGCTCACGGCTGCGACGCGGCGCGTCTGCGGCACCTCGCCGGCAGAGAACAAGAAAGAGAAAGAAAATGAGAGCGGGAGGCGGAAGGGAGAGGAGACTTATGTTGCTCACATCGTACTTAAGGACCAAATCCCAGAAACAACTTCGAGCACCCAGAAAAGTGTCGAAGCAGTGTCGAGCGAGTATCGCCTCCCAGGGCCCGACACGTGAAAACCCTCCAGCTTAGATACTTTCTTGGTGCTCGAAATTCTTTCTGGCGATCAAAGCTAAAGTAGGTTGGAGCATCATAAGAGGAGACTACGAGGGAAAAGGAGGAGAGGAAGGGAAAGGCAAAGGCATAGAGGGGGAGGGGAAGAGGGGGGAGGCAGAGGCAGAGGGGCACAGAGAGAAAGAGACGGAGAGGCCGAGGGAGTGCGGGAACGAGAAGGAGACAGACAGCGAGAGGGATAAGGACAACAGGGAGAGGTACACACAGGGAGAGGGACATACGTACATACATACCTAAAAAGCATAATATATCACTCTACCAAGAGGCGGATCCCGAGCTCCCAACAGGCGGGCCTCAAAGGGCGCTCGAGAGAGGTCAACCAAGAGCGCGCATGGCTCTGCGAAGCGTGTAAAGGAATCGGTCGAGAGTTTCCTCTGACGCGTGAGGGTCAGGCTCGGGTGAGGTGCGCGCAACGTTGTAAAGATGGAAAGCGCGCACCACCCGCTCAACTTCCTCAGGCGATGGGGAGCCAGCGAGGCCAATGCGTTGAGCAAGCGACAAGGGGGGCACCTCAGGGTGGTATACAATGCCCCACAAAACTGGACAACGAATGTAGTGGGCCATGTCATCCCTGCATGCTACACAACGAAATCGACAGCCGCGAATCTCGGTGCTGTGCAGACGGTAACTGGCGGGCCATCCGCCTACCACTGTATTCAGGACCGCGCTTTGCCATGCTGGGGGGCCACCATCGCGGACCAGGTCCCGAAGCGGGGCCCAGTGCTGGGCACAAAACTCGACACCCCAGGAGGCCAGGCGCTTGGCGATCGTGTCCTGAAGAACACCGGGGAAAAAACTAGAGCGGAGAGAGGCGGAGAGGATCTTCTGGCAACGCAGGCGCACAGGCGCCTCCTGCGCTGCCCGCTCAGCGACCGAGGCGAGCGCGGCACGGGCGGCCTCGGAGTGCTCGCGCTGTCCGAAGCGCCCCAGCGCGGCATCCTCCACCTGCATGACGAAAGGTGGGGCCCCCGGGGACAACCGTCCGAGCCCGATGGCCTCCAGCGAGCCACCCTCCTCGACAGTCTTGCGGAGGCGCGCCAGCAGCGGGCGCCGCATCGTGAGCGCGGAGCCCGCAGCGCGCATCCTCGACGCCATGCTGAGCACGAGCATGCTGGCATGGCGGATCGCTGACCACGAGGCGATGCCCAGGAGGCCCCTCGGCGAGAAGGACTGGGGCGGGAGGTGCCAGATCTTGTGCCACGCCCACGACTCGCGCCTAAGGAGTGACGCGGGGACGGGCATGAGCTGCATGAGGTAGCTGAGGACTGTCAGCACCCGCGAGTTGTAAAGGACCGTCGCGAGGTGAACTGGAGCTCCCACGCGGGCGAGTTCGCGAACTCGGTGGACCCATTTCGCGCCGACCTTCTGCCACACGAGGTCGGGGGAGGCGGCAAGACCCATGATAACGCCGAGGTACTCCGCGCAGGGCACGATGTCCATGCGTTGCCAGTCTGGCAGCGAGGAAGCCAACCAGGAGCGAGTAGTCGAAGCCAGCGCCTGGGAGTAAGCCCCAGAGAGGGGCATGATCTTGCGCTTCGGGAACTTCAGGCGGGGCCCCGCCAAGACGTCGGCAGCGCGGAACACACGCCACAGACGGGGGGGGACGCGGCAGTCCTGCACGACTACGCCCACATCGTCCGCGAAACCCCCAGCGCCGAGGAGGCGAAGGAGGAGATGATGGTCCCCATGTGCAGCACGAACGGGTCCATGGCCACTGCCCACAGCGATCCGCTGAGAGGGCAGCCCTGCGCGATCCCCGCGAGCACCTGCACGAAGTGCTGCAGTACCCCTTCGACCGCCACGAACGCCGTCGGCAGCCAGCACACGCCCATGATCAGCTGGAGGATGCCCCCATCGAAGCCAGCGCTGCGCAAGGCAGCGAGCAGGAACGAGACCGAGAGCGACGGAAAGGCGTTCCCGAAGTCGAAGAGCACCATGAGCGGCATGGAGTTGGCGGCGTGCTCGGAGAGGCCCGCGACGCGGGCGAACGTGTCGAGCACGGTGATGTTGTCCAGGAAGTTGCGCCCAGGCAAGGAGCCCCGCTGGGCTGCCGGCGCATATCGCTCGATGCGGTGCTTGATCTGGGAGTTGCAGCCAGCCGCGATCAGCTTCGCATCACTGTTCTTCAGCGCGAGCGGCCGTGTAGTGGCTGGAGCCCGAACAGGCCCAGCCGCGAGGTCAGTGTCCTCCGTGCCTTTCGGCCCTTCGCAATCTCGAGGCTGACGTCAGCAAGGGCCTGGAGCGGAGCAGAGCTGCCACATTTGCTCCACGCGTCGTAAGGCAGTCCATCAGGGCCAGGCGCCGATGGGCGCGCGCGCACGGCGGCGCGGAGTAGGTCACGATCATCAGGGAGACGGGCCTCGTGAAGGTCAGCAATGGGAACCGAATGCTCCTTCAGGTACCGCGCCAGCAGCTCAGGGTGGCCCTGGTGCACACGCTGAAAGATGGGGGGGGGGGGGGCCCAGTGGTCTCGAAGCTCCCGAAGCACGTCAGCCTGGGCGTTGACCACTCGCTCCTGGCCATGCTCGACGGGAAGGCGAAGTCCCTGAAGTTTGAAAGCACGTGAGAAGGGCGTCCACAGCGCGGCACGGCGCCTCAGCGAGCGGCGCATCGCGTTTCTGTGGCGGAACGAGGTACCGTCTGGTGAGAGGGCCTGGCGCGTTGGTCGAGCCGAGCTTCGCGTCGTTCGCTGTAGACCCCCTTGGGCGGCAGCGAACTCCTCCTCGAAGGCAGCGGGGTCGCGCAAAGAGATCAGTGCGCCGCCGCGGTACTCGATGAGCAAGTGCGAGGAGGCCAGCTTGGACGCGGCGACGAGGCGCTCCGCGAGGCGCAGGTCGTCACGCCAGACCGCCCTCGCGATGGAGCGGAAGATGAGCAGCTGGGCGTCGTTCTCGTCGGCCTTCGCGGAGAAGAGGCGATCCCTGACCCGCCGAGCGGCCTCCTTCATCAAGCGCTTGTGCTCCTGGCGCTGCTGGAAGGTCTGGAGCGCATCCCAGTTGACGAACTTCGACAGCAGTGCGAACTGAGCAGGATACTCGGGGTCGCGGAAGATGTGCCTGGGAATAGGTTGGGCATCGTCCGCCAGAGGAGGGCGAGCGGCTATCGCGAGGACCAGCGGGGCATGATCACTGAGGCCACGTTCGCGCAGGTGCTCATGGAAGCCGCGGGTCGTGGCAGTGATGCGCCACTGGCTGGCGAGCCAGCTGGGAGAGGCGATGAAGGCCCTGCGGATCTGGGCGAGCTTGGGGGGCGCATCATCCTGGACGTTGTAGTGGGCGGGGAGCTCAGTGTCGATCTCACTGAAGTCCAGGAAGATAGCCTGCCAGCGGCGCCCCTGCGGTCGCGGCGCA